GCTAAATTCAATGAAAATAAAATATATTAGGATATAAATGAGACTCATGTACATTCTTCCAAATATGTCGAGATAGAGAAGGATGATGATCTAGAAGACAAAGCTACTGAAATGATATGGTATTATCCTTGTTATACTATCTATTATTGCTTGATGGTGGTGAACCAGAGTGTTATGATGATGCCATTCAAGTTGATGAGTAAAAGATATGGGAGCAAACAATGGATGATGGGATGCATTCACTTGAGTTGGATCAGACTTGGAATTCGATAGGGCTACCAATAGCAAGAAAGCAATGCATAATAAGTAGGTTTATAGGCTAAAAGAAGAATATGATGGTAGCTAGCACTATAAGGCTAGGCTTGTAGTGAAGGATTTTCCACAAAAGGGAAAGAGTTGACTACACTAAATTTTCTCTCTGGTGATAAAGTTGACTATAATCAGAGTTCTATTGAACATAATATTAGTGAAAGAATTGCATCTAGAACAGATAGATGTAATTAAAATATTTCTTCATTGTGACCTTGAAGAATAGTTTTATATGGTGAAACCTCAGGGATATGTGGTCACAAGTAAAGAAGATCTAGTGTATATGCTTAAAAAGAGCCTATATGGGCTAAAGTAGGCACTAAGATGGTGGTATGAGATATTTGATAAGTTTATATTAAACAATAGGTAAATGAAGTGCAAGATAAATTATTATTATTTTTTCAAATATTTTAATAATTATTATATCATTTTACTTTTGTATACGGATGACATGTTGATTGTAGGGTCATATATAGAGAAGATAAGATGTCTGAATGAGCAGTTATCAAAGGCATTTTAAATGAAAGATTTAAGTCAAGGAAAGAAAAATCTTGGTATGAAAATTAGCAGGGATAGAAGTGTATGTATAATGAAATTATCTCAAATTGATTAGGCTGAAGAGGTGCTATAGAGATTCAACATGAGTGAGGTAAAGCTAGTTTGCGATCCCTTGGGTGATCATTTTGAGCTATCTAAGAAATAATTATCTACATCTGAAGTATAGCAAGAACATATTGAGATGACTATGTATACTTCAACAGTTGAAAATTTAATGTATGTTATGATATATACGATAGCATATATATAACATACGCAGTGAGAGTAGTCAGCAGATTTATGTGTAACCCGGACAAACTTTGTTAGGAGGCAGTTAAGTGGATTCTCAGTTACTTGAGAGGATCAATCAACAAAACTATTTTCTTTGAAGATAAAGGAATTGATCTACAAAGATATAAATATTCAGATCTTGTTGGAGAACTTGATTATAGGAGAAGCACAACTTGTTATATCTTCTATTTGGAAAAAACTAGAGTGAGTTAGATTTCTAAGTTATAAAAGATTGTTGCGATCTCTATCACATAACCTGAGCACATTACTATCATTGAGGCTAGTAAGGAGATGATATGATTGCAAAGTTTTATGGCTAAACTTGGCAAGGGAAAAAAGAAAGTGAAGTTACATAATGACAGCATGAGTGTTATTAATCTAGCCAAGACTGCTGCATTCCATACCAAGACAAAGCAAATCCCACTCATTATCTTTTCATCAAATCACTTATGAAAGATGGCCAATCATCGTTGGAGAAGATACATAGACTAACAAACCTGCTAACATACCGATGAAGATGGTGATAGTTAATAAACTAAAGCTATATGTAGTTTTAGTTTGTCTTCATGAAGGAAAAGAACAATGATGAGCTACATTACAAGTACTATGATTAGTGTTATAGATCGGGAAAATGATTGATCATAATCAATTTCAAAGTGGGAGATTATTAGTTTTGTAAGGAATATGATAGTGTCAATCAATTATTTTGTACTATTACCACAGACCTCAATTCAGTATGTTGAGCTTATTGGGGGTTACAAGAGATTTATCCTATTTGGTGTTTGGAGCCCTGATGATGCATTCTTGAGCGCCCGATCTTGGGCACTCGAGCACCCCAGTACTACAAACCCGAGTGCCCCAATGCTACATTTTTTTTTTTGGGTAAAAAGGACAAAGAACTGAGTACTACAGAGATTCAAACAAAGGCATAATGATGCTGTTACATATAATAAATGGCGGAGATTTGAGCACCACGGTGCTGCGAGGCGGGATTGCAGTTTTTCTTTCTTGTTTTTCATTAAGGGGTCGTTCGGTTAGATTGCATAAGGGTGTAAAGTATTACAAATGTAAGAGTTCTAAAAATTTTGGTGTTTGACTAGATGAGAAAGGAATGCAAAGTAAAGTTAATGTAGTGTAAATCATTCCAGTTCATTTTTGAGGTAAATAAAAGTCGCCCAGCTTCGAGCAAAAATGATTTACAATGCAAGCAAACTCACTTAAACTATCATAGGCCACCATCGCCTGCACCTCCACCTACTTAAGACCACCACTACTAGACACCACCGCAACCAGCCATCACAATTTCCGCCAACTGCCATCAGACACCACCACCACCGCTAGCCACCACCACTAACAACCACCACCGCCACCACCCTCTGGCCACCACTGCCACTAGTCACTACCATCGGCTACCGGTCACCACCACCGCCACCTATCATCAGCCGCCACCCTTTGTCGTCGCCACCCACAAGTCACCATCATATTTAAATTTTACACGACATTAATTTTACTTCAAATTAAAATCATTCACCTAAATTTACTTTATACTCATTTCAAATAATTCCTATGTATTCCTTTTGCACTTCAATCTTTTTATACTACATTCTTTTTTTAGCCAACCAAACAGCCTCTTAAGGGTGGGTGTTGTCCCTTAGTGGTTGTTGATATAGTTTTTCTCTTTATTCTTGTATGAGAATGGTGTAAGAGAGAAGAGAGACAAAGAGAGGGCAAGAAAGAAGAGAGATATGTACACTTTTCTACCCATTTTCAAAGTGAATTTCTTGGTATGGTGTCTCCATGATTTTTCCTCGGTTTCGGGTTTCTCCATGTTAAATGTTGGGGACCTTAAGACTACTGTCAATTTAATTCATCCTACCATTTCAGCTCAAGCTAGTTGTAACTTTTGCAATAAGCTTGCTGAAAACACCAATCATATTTTTTTTTAGTGTGATTTCACATTCACAATCATATGAACCATTTGCCTTGAGTTGCTACCTTTATGTATAGGTTGAACTGGATGCAACTGTTTGGCCACATTTCTGAGAAGACACAGATCATACCTCTAGTTAAAAATCTATACTTTCTATCAATTTGATTCTCTTTATATCACATTTGAAGAGAAAAAAAAAAAACTGGATGTGGATTCTTTGCATTGTTATGATATGGTTTAGAGTTCTTTGGTGAATTTTCATTGATTGCGAACATTATATTGTGATGGTTGCGAGTACTTGTGTAGTTCTCCTGGACTATGTTGAATTAGCAGTAGGTTCTTTTGTGGGTTTTCTGGACTGTTTTGGTCTCCAGATCTTTGATGATTTTTCTTTCTGGACGTGATGAATGCACCTACTTCCCCATAATTGTTCTGAACCATAATTTTGCTGTATATTTTGTTCATAATAAATAAATTGAGAGCTTCATCCTTAATATTTTCAAAAAAAAAAAAAAAAAAACAGCAGATAAAATGAACAAACATCAGATCCAAATCCTGCTTCAAAGCAGTATATAAAGGTCAGAGAATCAAAAGACAAATTGAATCTGTCAGACACTGTGATCTTGGAGTAATTATTGTGTCCGGGCACCGAACATGTCCAGAGACCAATAACAAATCGTCACGTCAATTGGGTGCTCAGTACCGAGCACTCGGTATTGCTCAGTATTTGTCCGGATTTCCAATTTTTCATCCGGACGTAATAACTTTTCGTGATCTTGTGAGCTTTGTGGTTCAAATGTCAACAATAAATCATTGCAAACAAAATCATTCAAGATCTGTGAGTTCTGTTATATTCCACTCTCCATTAGATTTTTATTATGTACTGTGATCCTGTGATCTCCTTTTTGTCCAGATATCTGATATGGAATGTAAGAAAACAATAATAATAATAATAATAATAATTTGTGCACGGTTCTTACATTATTGCAAATCCAATGATGAATAGAATATCTTTTAAATACTTATAATATTCTTTGCTTTGGACCAAATATCAAATTCCTGATTAATCATCCTCGCATCAATTACTGATTCAATACAGCATAAAAAAAGCTATACAGGCAGCATCAGAATAAGCATGCAGAAGAGGAATTCATTGGTTAGTTATAGAGGGAGCATCCAAAGCAAAAGAGTCACACTTATAAAAAGAAAGTAGAATAAGGGCTCATTTGGATGCTTGGACAAAGAACAAGAAAATGTGCTGAAGAACAATAAATGATTAACACTGTAAATTCTTTGTTATCATTACTCGACGCAATCATCACCATAGGCCGCTGCCTCCGGCAGCCAACAATCACCCACCATTGATTGCCACCAAACTAAAAAAAAATATATAAAATCCTGTATTTGTTTTATCTCATTCAAATAATTTTAAATATTTTAAATGCGTTACATTTCTTTCACACTTCATATCATGTTACTATGCATTCCTTTTTCAGCGAACCAAATAGCCCCTTATTTTTAGTTAAACCTCAACCTTTCAATTCAAATTTCACAAAAATGGGGGATTTACATACGTATCACCATATACCACTCTATTTATATATCTAATACCCAAAACTTTAATATTACATACATACTATACATAATTCACTTCATATCAAATATGAGTGGTGGAAATGAAATATATGAGTGGTAGGAATAAAATATGGGTGACATGTCTGATATTAAAATAATATAAGATGATATGCATGTAATATTAAAGTTTTGGATGTTAGATATATAAATAGGATGGTATAGAATGATATCTATGTAAATCCCCCAAAATAATATCATCATTTTTTTAAAATATATTTTCTTTTTACAGGCAGATAAATGAATCCTATAGTTTTCAAATTCAAAATACATACTAATTGCCAGGAATGAGTCCCTATCCTTGATGAAAAGAATCAAACTTGAAACAAAACAGATATAATAATTTCAACATTATACAGTTAAGCTCAAGAACTTTGCTGAGATAACACATAAAAGAGGCATCCTGACGCCCAGTTCAGATATAATTTTATCACTAGAAGCATAATAAATATTGCTAAAAGCTAAGAATGTTACACTTTCATCGATAAAAAGCAATAGAATCTCCAACAAGCCTTTCTGGGAAATGGCACTTCACAAACTCCTAACCAGCATCATCTTCCTCCCTCCTCCCAAAAGAGCCAAACAAAACAAATAGATCTTGCTGTAAACTTGAAAGATTCAAATAGAACAAGCTTTAGAATGCATGTACACAAGAAATTCAACCTTCGATTTGACATACTTGCTTGACCTTTCTCAGGAGGTAATCCATCACCTCGGCTGGAATCAATGGTATCCTCTTGAACCTCTAGATTGATAAAGCTCCAACCTTGCCTTTGCCTCCGGCAACAAGACATCAATTTCAGGATGTTGCATCACAGAAGTCTGCTTCGAAGCCCATTCCAGCACAGCGAGGACCTCGGCCTGTGCCAGTTCCTCGCTCTCAGGTACATGAAGAGCAATGTAGCTGAGAAGGATTAAAGCTACAATCTGCACCATCTGTTCACCGAAGTAGACGAGTTGAACAAGGTGCTTGGCTCCTCCGGCCATGATGATGGCTTTAGAATGGTCGAGGTGGAGGTAGTTATCAGTGCAGGAGAACTTACTGAGGGCAATAGCCGCTTCACGCATCACAATCCCTTCCTTCTCGTCGAGAAGCCGCACCAATGGCCCAATGATCCGCGTCTCAGTAGCTCGGAAAGTCCTTGATAAGCACCCGAGGGCGGTGATGCAGGGGACGAGAAGCTCATTATACTCCGCCTTCTCGACGACGAGAACGAGCTGGTCAACGACAGCGCGGGCGGTGGGGGAGGTGGGTTTGAAAGCAGAACGTCGGAGGTCGGCATCCTCCTCGGCAACGCGGGCGATCTCCATGAGTGCCATGGCGGAATTGTACTGAACCTCTTCTTCTCCCTTCGCCAGGAGGACGGCGAAGCAAAGGAGGGCCTTTGATTCCGTGATGCTCTTGCAGATGGCGGAATTTCCCCGGGAGAGCTGCCATAACGCGCGGGCGGCCATGGCTTTCATATAAGTCTTGGTGGCCGGGTCTTCGAACTCCCTACCCTTGATACTGGTACCGGCGAGGGAGATATGCTGATGCCGACCATTGGCAGGATGGCTGGGATACTGGTGGTCGGGGCCAACGTTGGAAGGGATGGGAGGTAACTGCCCCTTGGCAGCCATGGTAGACTGAATAACGTTATGCATCTGGTTCATCATGGCTTGACTACCCATGGGGTGGCGTACCACGGGATGCTCCGAGGAGTCTATGGAGGAATCGGCGGTGATATTGGTGGGGTTGTTGTTGGCCATGACGACACCATGGATTGAGGTGACCTTGGGAGGAATCGTGTACTTGGAATGCTCCTGTACTGTCTCGAAAGCAAGGTGACCGACGAGGAGGCGGACGACGTTGTTCTGGGCGAAGACGTCCTGGCATTTCGGGTGGTTAGCGGCGAGCTCGGAGACAGCCCAGGCGACCATGGCCTGTACTTTCATGGGGCTTTCTTTGAGCACCTTCGAGAAGACGGTGCAGACGCCGGCGATGACCATTTGCTCCACGCTTTCCGGATCTCGGCCGAGAAGGCCGAGGGCTCGAGCTGCGTTCTCCTGGCCCTCTAGCCGTCCCTCCTTGACGAGGCGCAGAAGAGGGCCAACGCCGTCTTCCTCGATGATGAGCTTACCGTAGCGTTCATTGTCGCGGGCAAGGGACACGATGCTTGCAGCGGCGTCGGCCCGCGCGTCGAGGGAACCGGTGTGGAGAGTTGCGATCTGCTCCCATATGAGAAAAAGGATCGGCTCATTCTGGGCGATGGGGGGGAGGCCGAGGTGCATGTCACCGTCCTCATCACCGGCGGCGGAGACGCGGAGGAGCCAAGAAACGTCTCCAATGGAGTTATCAAGGCCGATCGACATCTTACGGAAGGAAACAGCGGGGATGATGGTGAACATGCGCTTCATGAGTCCGTTGGCGCGGCACTTGGTCACCAAAGCAAGGGCTTTATCGAGGACTTGTTCTGTGTCGTCCATGATCCGGCGAGCTGGACGCTCGTAAAGCTCCGCCCTAGCAGCTTGCCGGAGAAGCGCCGCTAGGCGCTCTGTTTTGGTTTTCAACTCCAGGCACTCAGCTCTGAAGGAGTGAGCATCGTCGGCGAGCTTTGTCACCTGGTCTGCGAGCTGGATGGGCTTCGCCAGTATCTGCTTAACCCCATCACCCATCATCTTTTCCACTATTCCCTGCCCTTCCTTCCCTTTTCTAGCACTCCAATTTTGCTGTCCTGAAATGATGATAACAAGTACCTAATCACTGATGAGATGCCTGATCCCGATCTCCTAATCCCTAATTGAAAGGCGAAGAAAACATCACCCAGATCCAACGATCATGGCCGGTTCTCCATCGCCGGCCAGCTACGGGAATTTAATGAGAGAGAGACGGAGAGAGATCTGTCAAGTTTCCCGACCTTTGATTTGCGGATGATAGAGATGAGTTTGGGAAGAAATGGTTGAGCTGGATCGAAACTTGGCGGACGAATCGGAGGACGCCGATGTATTTTCTGCTTTCTTTATTTGTCCCCCCCTAATTTTCGGTTTCTCGTCTGTTGGCATTTAGGTTTTTGTTTGCACGATTAGGTATTTGATCGATTGAATTGAGAAAAACTGTATTAAAAACGAACCAAAAACATAAAAAATTTTTGTCAAAGTGAAAAGATATCAGAGGAGAGGCTTGTTTTTTCTAAAATTATAAATAATATATATTTTATGATTTATAATTTATTATTTTTAAAAAGGATTTTTAAAATAATTAATACTAAAACATCTCTATTTACTTGTCTAACACTAAAACTTTACTGTTACTCTTCTACCACCTAAAAACCCTTGTCCTCATCAATACAACACTTCGTTACCTCCCGTCAAAATCAAACCCCAAAAACTATGATTATGAAACATCTGCTTTGCTAACACCACCTCTTCCTCACTCGGTTGGCTCATCGATTTATTCATCTGTGTATTTTCTCCATTTCTTATCTCGTTTTCCTATTCTTCAACCCCATTTAGCTCTGATCTGCCTTCGGCCTCCCCTCCCCTATAGATCGCCCAGCTTTGATGTTCTTCTCCAAGCTTTCTATCTAAGTTTGTTGTTCTTCTTCTATGTTTAGACGGCCTATACCGTCACCTACATTTGATGTTCACTATCTTGTTTTCATATACCACGTCCATACTCTACTTTTTATCAAGTTGAGATGGTATATGGGAAGAGGATTAATCTAATAAGCAAGATCTTGATCCCTTATAAATTTTTCTAAAAAAATGATCAATTATATGGTATTTTATTTTTTGTGGATTTTTTAATGGGAGATTTGTTTTGTAATTGTAATAATATTGGATTTGTGACATGAGTTCGAGTCAGTCAACGCCATAAATGAGAAATTAGGACAGCCCAATTTATTAATTTTGCAATCTTCAATATTCAATTTATACTTGCTACAAAGCTAATAATCGCGGAAGAAAGTTCTATCAATGTCATCGAAACAAATCGAAAGATATTTGCTGATATTTTAGACAGTTTGAAGAACAAAATGGCATGCTAGAAGATATGAATCGCTTAAGGAGTTTAAATGCAGTAGGAGTCCACTCCAACCATGTTGTCTCAGCTACATCTCAGTTTCTTCAAATTAAATTCTTATTGGCTATCCTGATTTTGCTTATTACCATTGTCGTAAATTCTCTATCGAAGACTCTTGTATTTGTAAATGAATGTAACTGAGAATGTAACCAAGAACTTATGTTGGCTAGCATGTGCAGAAAGTCCTAAAATTTTTGTAAACACATGTGTTGAATGTAAACACTTGAAGTTTTGCATCAACTGTTGCGTTTTTTGCAAACATGTTAAGTTCTATTGCAAGCATTTGAAATTGTTATAAAAATTTTGTAATCAATTAAAAGGTGTTGGAGACTATTTTAACCTAACTTCTATTGGCTATTAGTTTCCAATGGCGGTTTCTGATAAATCTTGATGGATTCTCTTGTGTTTGTGTGTTTTTTCGCTATGTTTATTTCTGGTGACTGAGTTTGGTTCATCTTCCTTATGGTTGCTTCATACAGTTGACATTCTCCTGAGATGGCTTTTGGCTGCTTGTGCCTTTATTTTAATTCGATGACATGCACACATGATAGTCCAGAGAACTGTCAAAACCCACAACCACAATTGGTCCTCTATATCCATCTCATGATGCTCAAAACTTCCTTCAACTTCAGCTTTGTTTGAAGTAGACTGTCATATAATGAAATATTCTTTTCTTGTCGTATCATTTCTAATATACTCCTCTACAAATGGAACAAGAGGCCCATTCCATGAAGTAGAGTTTAACTTCCACTGAGAATATTATTCCATCAGCATTCCTCTTATCATATTGATGAGATCTATCGCAGGCTTATTTCTTGCCTCCTCTACCCATAAATTGAAGGATTCAACCATGTTATTTATGTTGTAATGGTTCTTAATATGCTTTGAGAAAGTTGCTTTCGACCACTTACATGTCAAAGAACTTAGGGAGAGATGAACTTCTGGACCGATCCGAAAGATTTCTTCTACCTTAACATGAAACTTATGTTGGCTATAACAATTTGCGACAGTCCACACCAACTTCTACATTCTGTGGCGATCATCACAATGAAAAAATTTCTTAATGTTCTTCTAAAAGTGTCTCAAGCAAACTTTGTGCTCAACATTAGGAAAGATAACTTTATTAGCTTCACCGAGCCCTTTCTCCATATCTAATATGAAGGCTAAAAGTTCTACATCAACAGTAAAAGCTTGGGACAAAGTCATCAAAAATCACTCTCAACTTCTCTTTGATTCATATTTTATAATGGTGAATGCAATAGTAAAGAGACAATTATTTTCATCCAAATCATCCGTGGAAAGTTGTACACCTAAATACTTGGATTTCATAAGACAAACATTAATGTCGATTGAATATCAACATCTGACAACGAACCCATCAATGTAAATCTTGAAACTAATGAAGAACCTCTTAAATGATTGGTTTTGGTTGTCACATAAGTACCTTGTCGTAGCTTGCTTGTTTCCAACTCTATTTACCCCCGGGCATAAATGTGTTGAATGTAATATTCTAACTTTGAATGAATGATCATTTAATTTGAACATAAAGAAGCACATAATCTCCATGGACATCCATGATATGTGCATGTAACAATAACTCTTGATTTGTCACTAGCATTAATCTTGATAACAAAGTTTTGTAAAATTGCATTAGAATGAATAGCTTGTTTAAAACTTGATGAATTCTCTAAATGTTAACCAACACATAAAGAATGTATTTCTTTAACCTAAGCCGTAAAGAAGCCATCACACAAATGATCTGCTATTATGCCATTATTCACCCTGCTGCTTTCACTTAAATCAAGAATATCACCATATTGAATATCATCAGCATAACCCATATCTTCTTAGGGATCTCTTAATACAACAACTACATCCACTATATTGCCATTACATGAACATGTCAGCATATCCATTAAATATGTATCACTCCTAATTTGCATATAAATTTTAGGTGATGTCCCATTAATATGATAGTGTAGGTCGTAGGCATAACCCCTAAGCCACCGCTAAAGTGCTTCGATTTATTCTTTCAATAATAAAAATTTAATATCATTTCTCTCTAACTTCAAAGTTTTTTTACTTTCACCGACATATTTCATTCTACTTTGTCCCTTTATCGTAATTCAATCTCCTTCATATTTGAAGATAATAAAAAACAAATTATTTCAATCCATATCTGCAAGTACATTTATTAATGAAATAAATTTTATCCAATTAGAAAAAACAAGCATTTAAACAGTCCATGTTAAGATAGTTGCTATTTGCATGCTTTACATTTTTGCAACTTATGAAGTTTTGATGATTCCAAACATTATTGTTCAAATGTGTAGTTATCTCCTCTTATTATTTATTGTCTCACTAATCCAACAGAATTGAAGCTCTGCATGGTTGAGTAATCTCTTATTCTATTAAAGTTCTTTAATCTCGATGACAACAGTGACAACTGAACTGATGGGAATAATACATAATGCAATAGTGAATAAAGAAAATACCTAAAGAGAAGGAATGAGCTGATAGGAGGGATTCCGCTTAGGTGACGATGTGTTCATATAGGCAAGAGAAGATGAGAGATATGGGATTCACGAAAGGGAGCTTCTCGATTAGGATGTTCACATGAAACGTCAACCGCTCGGTTGGATGCATTTGCATGGGCTTGAGAATATGAGCGTGTGATTCAAATGAGAGAGAGCGAGCTGCTCGAGTAAGAATAAAGAGGAGAGGTGCTTCCCGTGCAAAAGACAATTTCAAGGTTTAGGATTAACGAGAGGTAACATAGTGTTATTTTTTATGAGTGCATCGATTTTTAGGTGGTAGAAGAGTAAATAGTAAAGTTTTTGTTTGTTCAATAGAATTGTTTTAAGTGTTAGGTATATAAAAACACCTTTTAAAAATTATTCCATTTAAATATTTAATTAGGTGTGATATATTACTTGAAAATTTCATCGATAAGTATGAATTATGATGCAAGTTTGCGAATTAAAAACTTTGTAATTAATTATGGGATGTCTAAATTCTATTTTTTTAACAAATTTATGGATAAAATTCATTAAAAAAAACACTTGAAATTTAGTTAAGGACTTTACAACACCTTTTAAAGAACCAAATATTTTTTAATGTTGATGATATCACTAGTGAAATCCAATAAGCTCGAGATTCTATAATTTTGATGTCATTAAGGAAATTAAATACGAAGAGAAATTTATTTTATTAATGAGATTAACACAAAACATCTAATGAGGTATGTTCATTTTTTTATCAAAATTATTAGAATGTCCCAATTTAGAAATCTATATATAAACTCAACTTTTGTTCATTTTGAGAAAGCTGAAATGATATTACTAAAGAATCCCGGAGAAATGAATATAGAGTTCAACCTATTAGCACACGACACCACCAAAGTTAATATGGTCTCCCATTGTACCAAACAATGTCAATGTTCTCTAGTTCCTATAATGTTGTCGTCCATCGTTGCCAACAATGTCGATGCCCATAGAATCAAACAAAATATGTCAATATTAACATCAACATCCATAATCTCTAATGGTCAACATACGCTATTGACAACAATCTTGATACCTATAGATATTTACAAAACTATAGTTCATCATTGATGCCAACTTCAATGCCTGACTTCGACACCAATGTTGATGCCTAATGTTAACACCAATGTCGAAGCCTAATGTCAACACTAATGACATTAACTTGACATCAATATTAATGCTCACTATTACAAATAAGGCTAATGTTCATTTTTTCCAAACAATATAGACACACAATATTAACATCAATGCATTGAAGCCCATTTCTAACCAACTAAACAAGGATATAATTGCAGCTCTTCTAATCTGATTTAAAAGAGGTAAACTACTGAATTCCTATATTTGAATCATTCTATATGTGTATTGAAATATTTTATACACATGCGAAAGTTTGCATGACTTCTAAAATGGATCCAAATGATCTATTTGAAAGTTTTGAAAATAAGGAGTTTCCTCTAAGGCGGCGTGGTGCA